CAGCCTAAGGGAAAACTTCTTAACCTCTCCAGTTGCATGAAATGGTGTTCGGCTGCATTAAACTATAATGAGTTAAATGAGCCTTAAGTCCGGAAAGTGGGAGGGGCTCCAAAACCTTGAGGACTAGAATATCATGTAATACAGGGTAATAAGGGGGGGGAGGGATAAGTTCAAAGTTTCCCACAGATGCTGCATGGGTCAACCTGCCAAACCCAAATCTCTTCCGTCTTATCCAGGTGATTACAGTGGCTAGAAGAAAAAGCCACCCCCCAATCTACTACAAATATGGAATTTATAGACCAAGACTAAACAAATTACACCTGCCCACAGACATTAATCAGACTCGTGTTTTTTGAGCTTGATCATTATTCAAAACTATTCCAAATATCCACTACAAACATAACTCAACCTATGGTTCATTATAACTCTATCTAACTATTGACTGCTCAAGCTGCTCAGATTGTTCACCTAAAATATATTGCTTTCCCTCTCTTTTTTCCTGATGAGTTGACAAGTTTATTAAGAAGCACAAAGCTTTATAAATCAGCCCCACTTCCTGTGTTCGTCTAAATCTGGGTCTATATGAGGAATGATGAGGTTTTATTTCCATAACCAGAGTTGAGAACAGAGATACATGGTGGGGCAGAAAACAGAGTTTATATCTAGTGCTGAAGGGACTTCACCCACCCACATGGTTTGTGCTCAAAAGGATGGTACTGTATATAAAAGGCTTCTTGCTTAGTTTGAGACTTTGGCTGCATACATACCACATATTAAAAGCATATTGCTTCCCTCAAAGTATGCCGGGAACCCCTCACAGAGCTACAATTCCCAGTGCCCTTAACAAACTACACTTCTCAGGAATCTTAGTTCACATGACATCCCAAAAGATTCCTGGGAAGTGTAGTTTGTCCTTTGAATTTGTATGCAGCCTTTGCCTGGGGAGATTTTTTTGTCACTCAATAATAATAATAATAATAATAATAATAATAATAATAATAATTTATTATTTATACCCCACCCATCTGGCTGAGTTTCCCCAGCTACTCTGGGCGGCTTCCAATCGAGTGTTAAAAACAATACAGCATTAAATATTAAAAACTTCCCTAAACAGGGCTGCCTTCAGATGTCTTTTAAAGAGAAGATAGCTGCCTATTTACTCAATAATTTTCCTTCACTCTGGCTCTGTCCAGCAGCAAGAGGCTCCCAGTAGAAGAGTCGCTACCACTAACTGGAGTGGCAAAGGGAAGTTCCATGTTAAGAACATTAGAAAGGTCTGCCGGATCAGGCCAGGGGCCCTTTGTAGTCTGACATCCCATTCTCACGGCATCCAGCCAGATGCCTGTGGGAAGCCTACAAGAAGATGCTAAGAAACCTCATTGCTGTATCCTTGGCCTTCCTGACCCTCTGCTGCACTCTACAGTCCCTGGCTGCACTCTGCTTAAGGACTGTGCAAAAGCTTAAAACCAAACCTTTAAAGTAGGGCTCCACAGCGTCCACTGCTAGCATTTTTTCCAGATGGTCCTCGCAGGGTTCGCCTAAAGGTAATGGGACATGCCACCAGACTGCACCCCCCATTTCACAAATGGGGCAAGAAAATTGTGTATGTGTGTGGGGGAAGGATTTGGGCTTAGATCTGAAGGATATTAATAATAAATCAATAATACATAGCAGTCAGAGCTAGCTCTGTTCTGCAGGTAGCATTCATAAATTCTACAGTATGCATTCTTTTATGAAAGCAAGCCTGGGGTTTTCTCCTTTACAATTTATATTTCCTAAGCTTTAGCACCCCGTAGGGTAAATTGAGTTGTTTGGAGGAGCTGCTTTTGCAAGTGTGAAATGTTTTCCAGCACCAGGGCAATGACATTTATTGGATGGGGCATTTTTTTCCCTTTTACAAAATGATCCAGGTGGGTAGACCTGACTGTGGGCAGCTCTCCTGGTCCCTCTGTCTGCTTTTCATTTTGCAACGAAGGTCATTTATTGATAGCTCTCCAAGAAACAAAAAGAAAAAAGGAATTGATTGGTAGCAGAGAAAGCTAGAAATCACCTCTGGGGTCATTTAGCTCAGCTTTTTCTGTTAGGGAAGGATTTTCTTTTTTTCTTTTTCTGATGTACAGCAATTCTACAAGGAGTCTTACAGAGCCTTTCCCCCCTGCACACACTTGGCAACGATGCTTCCCTCACTCCCTGCAGTGATTGATGACTGCATTGCTTTCTCAAACACTTAGCAGGAAGCACAACGGTTTGGGGAGGACCCTAATAAGTGCAAGATAAGAACAAAAATGCAACAAGAGGAACAGAGAGGGCTAAAGAAGCATTTTATCCTTCAATGAAGCACCATGCTGATGCTATCACGACACAGAATGCTTCAATCCAAACTCTTACGTGCACAGCTTTAGCCAATCAGAAGCTCATGGCAATCAACTGTTGAGTAGGGAGGTGACTTAGATGTGATAGGGATGCATCTAGACATATACCACATGAAAGTGCAAAGAGAACCTAAGGTAAAGGTAAAGGTAAAGGACCCCTGACAGTTAAGTCCAGTCACGACTAAGATACAGTCATACCTTGGGTTACAGACGCTTCAGGTTGCATTTTTTCGGGTTACGGATGCACCAAAACCCGGAAGTAGCAGAACAGGTTACTTCTGGGTTTCAGCAGTCACACATGCGCAGAAGCGCTAAATCGCACTTTGCACATGCACAGAAGCACCGAATCACAATCCGTGCATGTGCAGGCGCAGCTCTGCGGGTTGCGAACGCTGCGGGTTGCGAACGTGCCTCCCACACAGATCATGTTTGCAACCCAAGCATCCACTGTAAAGGTAAAGGTAAAGGTACCCCTGCCCGTACGGGCCAGTCGTGTCCGACTCTAGGGTTGTGTGCTCATCTCGCTCTAGAGGCCGTGAGCCAGCACCGTCCGAAGACACTTCCGGGTCACGTGGCCAGCGTGACGAAGCTGCAGCTGGCGAGCCAGCACCAGCGCAGCACACGGAAACGCCGTTTACCTTCCCGCTATAAAGCGGTACCTATTTATCTACTTGCACTTAAGAGTGCTTTCGAACTGCTAGGTGGGCAGGAGCTGGGACCGAATGACGGGAGCTCACCCCACCACGGGGATTCGAACTGCCGACCATACGATCAGCAAGTCCTAGGCACTGAGGTTTTACCCACAGCGCCACCGGCATCCCTGTACTTGAATGCAAATAAAAGCTAAAGAAACTGCTTTATACTGTGTCTGAATATTTGCCCACCCAATCCAGTCTTGTCAACTCTGTTATGGGAGCAGCACTTTAGTAACCCTATGGCCCTCTGGACTACAACCCTGAACACTGGCCAGGCTGGTTGGCCAGGCTGAACATCTGGAGGGCCACAGATTCCCTATCACTGCTTCAGGGACTCAGACAAAGACTTCAATCATTTGGCATGTCTACTGTTCATCTGAAGTTATTTCATGCTGCAACGTGCACAGAGGAGAGCATTCAAGATACTAAAAGAAACTAGGCCCAGTGAGAAACTGTTGAAGAAGCTGGGTATGTTTAGTCTGGGAAAGCAGAGACTGAGAGGAGATATGATAGCCATCTTCAAATATCTAAGGGGTTGTCACATGGAAGAAATTAAATTTTGCTTCTTATGGTCATATTTTGTAATCAGGGCTGGCCCAAGCCTTGTTTTCTCTAGCACTGGAGGCTAGGACCCAAAGCAATGGATCCAAGTTACAAGAAAGGAATTCTGACTAAACATCAGGAAGAACTTTCCCGCAGTAAGAGCTGTTTGATGGTAGAAGGTCATAGGTTGTAGACTCTCCTTCACTGGAGGTTTTAAAGCAAAGGCTGGATGGCCATCTGTCTTGGTTACTTTTGCTGAGACTCCAGCATTGCAGGGGGTTAGACTACATGATCCTCAGGGTCTCCGCCAACTCCACAATTCTATGGTTCTGTTATTCCCACCTAGTGCGCGCCCTCTGCCCTCAGACTGGTGAGGTATTGTGAGAGGCCCTCAGTTCCTCAGCCCAAAGGCTATGGGCCCTGCTGCTATGAGATCTGGCTCAGAGCTTCCCCAGACCACCAGACTCAGAGCCAGGAATGCAGCTTGGCTTCTTAGTTAGTGAGACACTGTCTTGGTGTCTTGGTCACTGCTAGACTCTGGTGCTAACACGAGAGTACTGTGCCCATCCAAGGAATCTCAGAATTGTACTTTTACATAATGACATTTGTGTCTATATATGTTTTACTTCCTTTGTCTTTTGTTACATGTCTGTGGAAATTCCCCTTGACAAATTCTTGCTCTATAGGTAAAGGGTAAAGGGACCCCTAACCATTAGGTCCAATCGCGGACGACTCTGGGGTTGTGGCGCTCATATTGCTTTATTGGCTGAGGGAGCCGGCGTACAGCTTCCGGGTCATGTGGCCAGCATGACTAAGCCGCTTCTGGCGAACCAGAGCAGTGCACAGAAATGCCATTTACCTTCCCACCGGAGCGGTACCTATTTATCTACTTGCACTTTGACATGCTTTCGAACTGCTAGGTTGGCAGGAGCAGGGACCGAGCAACGGGAGCTCACCCCATCGCGGGGATTCGAACCGCCGACCTTCTGATCGGCAAGCTCTAGGCTCTGTGGTTTAACCCACAGCGCCACCCACGTCCCTTCTTGCTGTATAGTGGTCTGATAACCAGGAGACAAACCAATCTGCTCTGAGCTGAATACGTACAGGATGGCTCAATAAACTCAAAGTTATACAAATGTGATAAATGTGAGAAAACAGCAACTTAAAATGCAGTTACAAGACAACTCTGTGCCTCACTTTTGAACTATCTTCTTCAGTGTAAGTTTGGAAACCAACATAGTTATACCAATCTTCCTAGAATCAGCTCCAATCTCCCCTCACCACCCGCCTTATCCTGAGTCACAACATTAGTCCATCTAGCTCAGTACTGTCTGCACTGACTGGCAGTGGCTCCCAAGGGTTTCAGACAGGGGTCTTTCCCAGCCTTACCTGGAAATGGTAGGGATTGAACCTGTGACCTTCTGTACGAAAGACAAATGCTGTACCACTGAGCTATGGCCCTGCTCTATATCTGTTGGCAGCTCTGCGGATAGAAATGAGGACTCCTTGGCCCACTGTCCTCCCTGCTTTAAACATTTATATCGACCTTTGAAATATTTATACATTTGTCATTTGGAATATTTATGTAACTATACAATTCATGCATTTTTAGAGATGACTGAAGGAGTTTTTGTAATGCAAAATAAATTATATATAGTGTATTTACCATAGACTGTAAATATTTTATTAAATTGTTACAGTTCATTCAGTGTGGATAGAGAACGGAGAGCGCAAAAACCTCAGCCTCAAAGAGGTTTAAAGTCTTATTCTCCATAGCAAAGCAAAGCAAAGCTTTTTTTTTAAAGGTCTTGTTGACCAGGTGGAACAACCTTCTGAATGGTATTCTTGGATTGCTGAGTGAAACCAGCAAAAAACAAAGCCAGGTATGCTTGAGCATAGGGGAAGTAGGAAGCTCACATTGCTTGTGTTCCCTATTGTGCAGCATACTTTAGAAGCTAGATGGCTCAGTGGTCTGACTCAAGACTCAGCTAGACAGCTGCAAATATAACATTTTAAGTGCATTATATAAATGTGGCACTAAATGGCAATGGTGAGCTAATGGCAAATTCAATATATTATTTTTAAAAGCTTAAGCATTTTCACAGCATTTTTTTTAAATGTGTGCAGATTTCACCTCAGTATAATGAGGCTACTTCCCATATTCCTATGAGATACTATTTCCAAGGAAACTCATCCCTACCCAACTTCCCCATCTGTAATGTGTATGTAAGCCACTCAAAATTGTTGTTTTTTAGTCGTTTAGTCGTGACTGACTCTTCGTGACCACATTAGGGTTGCTATATTTCAAAAAGTAAAAATCAGAACAGCTTTTTTTAGGAAACCCAAAAATGTGTTGACAGCAATTCCAGTAATTTTGGTAGTGTCTGGACGTATGGTAGTTCTACTCAATATTATCTCCTTCTTTGAACAGACACGTGTTCATCGGTAGTGTCCTGTCATTATTCATGATAGATACTCACAATAATGAGAATGATGAACACATTGCTGTCTCTCTCATGTACATTCTAGAAAATTAAAAAAATTTAATAGATATTTTATTAGAAATAGATATTTTATTAGAAGAATTTCATTTATTAAAAAGTGGTGAAAGGGGGGGAAAACATGAATGAAAAGGAAAAGAAAAATACTCAGTTACACTTCCAGACATTATTATACAAATGTGTATCGTCTTATTATCCAAATGCATTTTTTTTTTATCAATAACCTCATGTATTCTGTATAAGGTCATTCCAAATATAATTATATTATCAAAAGAAAGTTTGTATCTATACATGATCCATTCATATGTTGCTAATATTGTCATGCTGTCAAGCCATTGATTAAGGGGAATCATATTTCTATTCTTCCAGTTCATCAGCATCAGTCTCTTAGCCACCATTATACTGAAAAATTAAATTGTGCTTCCTATGGTCATATTTTGCAGCCAAGGCCAGCCCAAGGCTTTTTTGCATGAATTAGCTTTGCATGTGTAGACCTACACATGCACACACACACACACACACACACACACACACACACACATTGTTATAAGTTGTGGGTGACAGGGTTTGTCAGTGCCAGGTTCCCCTAAATTTCTGGGTCTGAAGGGTGTTAGAATTTAATCAATGCTTGGAGTGTTAAAATTGTCTTCCAGACACTGGATTTGTCGAAGTGTTAAAATACAGGCCAAGCCAGTTTCTCACAATCAGCAGATCACTTGAGAGATGGGCCATTAACAGAGAACAAAGACAGGGAGATGGGCTATCAGCAAAGCAAAGAATCTGTGCCAGCTGGTAAATGGATGGAGCCCCAATCCTGAGTCTTGAGATAGTTAGCAGATACAAAAACAAAGTGTAAAGTTTAGAATTGCAGTTGTAGATGATGTGGGCTAGAGGGAAATAGTTGCAGTCCGTTAAATAAAGCAAGCTGCAGAGTGTCGGAGGTATGGCTGGAGTCTGCTTGGACCCAAGGCTACAGCTATGGGAGAAATAAGAACCTTTTGGCACGTTAATGCTTTGAACCCTTCCATCATAGCCTGGGTTGTATGTATGTGTAAATAAACTATATATATCATAAAGATACCACAGTCTCTGCTGTGCCTCATTTCCAAAGGAAACACAAACCCTGGGTAACCCCTGGAATCTCACACCATTCAGAGACTGGAGTGGCGTGCAACAACAGAAAGAGTGGAAGGTGCCAGATGGACAATGGGCCTTTTTCATGGCAGTTTTAATGAAGCTTAGATAATTGTGAAAGCCTTCCAGGTCTGAAGTCAGAGGTCTCTAAATTAGACAGCAAATTAATGACATGTCGTGAGCAATCATGCTGATAGCCCAAGGGTATACAAACTATGTATACAACCATTGCTGTAAACATGTTAATGACAAGTTAAGACTCTGATCCGTATAGTTCTGCTGAAAGGACCCAAGTAACTAAAAGTCCTTGCAGCCTTGAACTTTATCCAGAGCATGACTGGATAACCTTTTCTTGATGCTGATTAGCAGTCAAAGTATATTCCAAATTTAGTTACACGCTCCCAGCATTCAAACGTATTAAAGCTACATAACATGTCAATTAGGCTTATGGGCTTAAAAGCTCTTCTGTTCTGAAAAACTCTCTTAAGCCTCCGGACAGACGCAAAAGTGAAACTCCTTAAGGAGCATCTCCACCCATTTTTGGAAACAATAATCTTCATTTGCCTTACGGTGAAAGGAGCTGTCAGTTGGGTGCAGTGGGGAACGTTAACTCAAACTCACATTGCTTTTGAAAATGAAAACGGGCCTCAAGATACAATTCTAAATTTCCACCCAGCAAAACTGTTGGAAAACTTTGTGTTCAACTTATTAAAGATTGTTCGTCACTGCACACCATTACTGGCTAGAAAGAGAGAAAAGATTAAAAAGTGTTAAGAAAATATTTACATCCTGATAATCATATCTTATATTCTATTTCCTATCTTTGGGAGCTGGCTATACACCAAGCCACCTGTAGAACAAAAATGTAGCTTTTCTCAGTCTGGAATCATTCATGCTCACCCTCAACATGTTGTTTGCAATATAGATTGAATCTAGATACTGCCATCCCCAAGAGTGGGTGTGGTTACTTGTTAAGCATTTTAAAACCTTCCCATTGATTATATTATCCACAACTATTCCTCCCTGCACATACCCAAGATTAGGGTTTCCCAAACTTGGTTCTCCAGCTGTTGTTGGACTACAATTTCCATCACCCCTGACCACTGGCCCTCCTAGCTAGGGATGATGGGAGTTGTAGTCCAAAAACAACTGGAGACCCAATTTTGTGAAACCCTGCCCTAGATGAAGGAAGTGCTATAATATACAGTTCCTAACTCACACTTGCATGCATGAAAGGGTTAACCTGAGCCCTGAGTTCAAGTTCCCAGTGGGTGTAGCTTAACAGACTCCCAGCAGCCTTTGCTTCTTCACTCTCTTTCTCTCTCTGCTGCTTTGTGGAACAAGGAACCATGTGGCTTTGGCTCCCAGCTCAGGAAATGCTACCTGTGATTGAAAAGACTCTTTAAATTGAATTTTTTACAGCCTGCATCTTGTCTCATGTAAAGATTGTGTGATTCTTTTGTTAGGAAATAATGTTATTATATTTTAAAGTCATTTGGAACTCTTTTTCATCTCAATTTTGCTGCCAATGGATGGAGACATATTTGCTGTAATTTCTGGAACTCTGAGTAAAATCTTAACTTATTTGCAAAGCTAAGTGTCTGTGATTTATTCTAATCTATGTATTTCGATGGGTCACATTTGTTTAAAGGTGGATGAGGGCAGAGGTAAATCTAACCAAGTTTTAATGTGGTTGAAGCGATTGCTATTGTGCTAACTCAGCTGCGAGAGAGTAAGGATCTTTCTTCCAAACCGCTCTCCAACAAGAAGGACATGGTGGTTGTGATCTTGGAATATACCCATCCACAAAGTCTTTGGACAGGTAGGGATGCACACATACAACCGTTGCCAGGACTGCTTACATCTGCTTTCATGCTTTCAAATGGACACACTGCAAGCTAATGCAGAATCAATCTGAGATGTTCTTATTTTGGGAATGAAACCAATTTCTAAAGAAGCACTTTTCAGCAGCAAAAAATAAATAAATGAAAAGAGCATGTAGAAAAAAACAAGTACTTAGTTTCTATTGGTTCTAGAATAAAACGTGTGTACGCAGCCAGGGGAAGTGTGCTGCTATAGTCAAAACAGCAGCAACTGCACAAGAGAAACTTATCAGCAGACTCAGGGGAACCCCACTGTCTGTAGAAGTACAAACCCCATGATTTACAGCACTCCCCATAACAGCTTACTGAAGACTGAATATGCTTAGTGCCCATGAGGGGGTTGGGGAGGCAAGACTGAAAACTGAGTGGGAAACAGAATGCAATGGAGTGCTTGGGAAGAGAGGGTGGAGGAACTGACACAGTTGTAGATTGTCTAAACTAGAGCAAATTCTCATTGTCTTGATAGGTCATTTCCTGATTTAACAGCTTGGCCCAATTGGCGCTGGACAGGTGAAATGTTAAATTTCCTATAATGCAATGCTGGAAACATCTGTAACAGGGGTTGCTACTGGCAGTGAATACAAAATCTAACATGGTGTTTGCCCTGCACCAATCAGAACTGAACAGATCCTTGGCTCTAAGGATGAGGTTCGCTATTCTGTACCTGTTTGTTTGTTTGTTTTTTACCCATGTACTTATGCAAACTTGGTCCATTGTGGCTCACATTTCATAAAGCCCATGTCACTTCAGCCCAAGCTTTGAGTTTGCGATGATACTGACATTGTTTCTGATTCTCCTAATAGCATTGTGAACGCTGCTTGCATAATGTATACAGTATTGCTATTTGCAGTACTGCTGCTGCTAATCATTGCCCACCATCAAATATTGATTTGCATGCCCCCGGGGGTATTATAATTTGTGTCTTGCCTTACAGTTTTTATCT